GCATGTAGTCTCTTCTCTATGGTCCATGCAGAGTGAGTAGGAACAGCTACCACTGAGATCAGACAGTTTCCCAAGCTCAAATTAACATGTAGATCTTGTCTTTCAACATTAATGGACCCAAACAGTACCTCTGTACTTCCTAAAAAGACCCCATCCTCTTGGAGTTGCAACTCTTTTGGGAGGCAGACAAGCATCTAGGGTATTTTGAACTGAAATTATATTTGTGTTTTTTTCAGAATCTGAAAATGTCAAAGGTTATATTTTTTTACACCCAGGAGTTGTGCATTTTTATTCCTCCCCACTCTACCTGCAAAAATACTGCTTCTTTGGCTGGATCTGATGTCATAAACTATTGTGTCATAACTGAAGAAAAACAACATTCTTACCTCTCTGGGTATGCGGTCAGACGACCCAGACAATAAACTGGGAAGTGTTTTTTCCATTGGTGGTATTGGCTGACCTAGCATATGTATCAGCTGCCTTAGAATTGCTTTTGATGCAATTAGGCTACTATTTAGCTGTCTCAATTCTTCACTCCCTCCTGATGTTTTCTTTTGATTCACTTTGACTCAGAGCAGTTTGTATTCCATGTGTATTTGTTTTGGTGTTTAGTCTTCAATCCCTAATGAGAGCTTAGACTGTCCTCTTTTGGTTCAGAGTTTCTCTGTGTTGACATACATTTTTCTGTTAAATGCATTCATCAGGCTTTTTCTCCCAAGTATAGCTGTTATTTTGCAAGGTGTAAACAATGTATTGTCAGCATGCACATATATATAAAAATATATGTGCATATTCATTTAAACCACGTTAAGCGTTTTACAGCCTGAATGAGAATGTGCAGAGCTACTTCCAAACTATCAAAACCATAATAAATGTTTAGCACTCAAATATTTCTTCACCAGATAGTAACCTCACAATTAAATTATTATGGAAAGTCAGTTAAATAACAGCAAAAGTTATTGTATTAAGGCCCACTTTGCAAGGAAACCAATGACAAGGAAGCAGTGAAACATGCTAATAGATTATATGTTATAGCAATATATTGCCTTTTTATTGCTTTTCCACAGGCAGCAGATTCATGTATAGTTATTACTAGCTACATTATCTGCTAGTTTTCTATCAAAAAAAGATTCAGTCTATTGAATCATTAATCCAATATTTATCATTCTTACTGAAAATCCAGTAGTGTTAGCACTGTATAAAACATTGACTTAAATCTACAGGTTTTGCTAAAGATTAAAAACATATTAACCTAAAAAGCACAGTATTTCTTAGGACATTTGAAACTATTCATTGTGGATGTCTGAAATGACTATTTCTATGTTGTGTGAGGGTGATTTTTTTTTTTTAATCTTTAACATATAGTAAGTGACCAATGCCATCCTGATTTGAAGATGCTGAATCTTCATCCAACTCATTTGAAATTTTGATGTGTATTACATTAGTTACTGAATATCAAGAATAAATTTTTTGCTCATATATAGAAGTGTAAAATGGGATCTTTTGTAGCAGCACATGGCCTGTTTAGAATGATATAACAGGCACTGAATGTTCACATATCAAACAAAATGCCATCTTTCTGTAGAAAAGAGGTGTCAAAAAGTTTCTTTGTACCTTTAACGCATGTGATTATGTAGTACAAAATGCAGAGTTTGTAAAATTTCTTGAATATACAGGCAAAAAATGAATAATTCAAAACAACTCATAAGTTCTACATTCTATTGTATCTTTTATAACGCAGGCAGAAGATAGCATTGTGTTCCCAGTAGAGCTGAATTTGCACAAGTTACACCTCTGAAAATGCCAGATGGTCTATGGTCTACTTTTGAGAGCTGTCACATATGTAAAGATTTGAAAAAAGAAAGACAGCTGAATGAGAGCAGTGGATCATTAAAGAGAGAGTGAGAGTCCCTGGGTATCACTGTGTTTTAAGAAGCATTGTGTCATTCCCCATATTACACCTTTATTTTTTTATTTTTTTTAAGATATACACAACCTTTAAAAAATAAGGTAAAAATATTTCTGTTTTAAACTGAGTGGTTGTGGCTTAATCTTGGAACTGTCAGTTGCTTTTGTTCTTTATGCTAGAATGCGGTCGTATAGTTCCTAATTGGTTTCAAGTGTGTTTTAACCATAAGATTCAAATCTCCCTAGTGCAAAATTATCAATAAAGTTAAAATAAATTTAAATTGAGATAACTAATCCATTTGGGGGTTTATTCCATTTTGATTTGACCTGCGTATCACATGTGAATACTGTAAAGCCAGTCAGCTAAAAAAGTTGTATATTAATGCTAAAAGGCTAAAGTAAGAGTACTTTGGGAAGGGAATTATTGAAACAAAACAAAACACAAAACCACCCTCCCCCCAAAAAAACCTGTTAAAAATAACAACAGAAGCAAACACAAATGACTGTTTAGATTTGCCAAGACTTCCCATTCACCCACAGTGTGACAGAAACACGCCTAATTTTGAAGATGGACTTTAGGATAATTTGTCAAGTTATTATTTTGTAGCAAAACACCAAAAATATCCAAAGAACTGTGAGCTGCCACTGCCAATTAAGCTGGCTCAGAAAAGGTCATAACTGTCAGTTTTAGAAGCTTGCCTGTCCAGACATACATAATTTTTAGTATAGTCTATTGCTTTTACTTATTGAGGGAGGTTAACCCCTCCCCAGTAATTCTAGGTTATCAGTGCAACTGCATCACTTCACAGTTGGGAACATAGGCAGCGGTGCAGTGTGAAGAAGCAACATGACGTGGAACGTGAAAAGCTCTCTTCTGAATAGTACAATTTGCATTTGAGCGGGATAATGAAAATAAAGCTGTGCCCTACATAAAGGGTTCCTGGTAGTATATTTTTGAAGAATCCTGCTTCAAGATCCCTAAAAACTTGTGTTGGTGCTTTTATGATAGACTGGAAATGCTGGCAGTATATACACTACAAGTAGAATTCCGGAGTTCAGAAAATGCCTTGCTTATGCTTCTCTTCATAATTTGCAAGCACTAATGCAGAACTGAAGGAGAAGCACTTTTTGTACTGCCATCAAAAACTTTTGGGCAACAAGTTAGTTGATAATAATGTGTGCCTGCTCTCTTGGGCTGGAGGTCCGTGAACTGTTACTGCTGGTACTGGAAGGGAATGATCTTTGTTTTCTCTGCAACATTTTTGGGCAGGCTAAAGCATAAATGTTTTCTCCATCTCTGCTTTCTTTTCTGCCACAAAAGGTTATCACTTTTGTAAAGCAGGTTAAATCAGGGTTTTTGTGGCCTGTATATATTATATATGGGTAGTCTAGGATATCTTCTTAAAATCTTTGTTTCTGTGACTAAAAAAATCAAATGGAAACAAACAAACAAAACCACCAAAAACCAACAAACAGAAATAACCAGTACAAATATGATGAAAGTAATATTTTTTTTGCCTATGAATATGACTGGGACTTAAAGATTCATCTGAAGTTTAATCTGGACAGGTTTGTGATAGTTGGAGAAATCTATTTGAGAATAGTACAAGTGTCCTTGATAAAAGGGAAGCATTGCGGGTTTGTTAGGAAAATTCAGAACTGAGTCTTTTTAGAGACTGTGTTGGTCTGTGTGTCCCAGTAATATTTGTCTGAAATTTGGTCACTTGTATCTGAAGTCATCAGTGGAGATGTTACTTTTATAGGAAGCTAATAATTATTATCTATACATATTGTTATCTTTGGACACAGTGTAATCTAAATAGGAAGCTATACCGTGAAATAATCTAAAAAGGGATGTGAATCATGTGAAAAGAGAATGAACTGCAGCACTGTTTTTCTTTACTCCTGGCATTGTCTAATCTCTCTTCAGTTGAGTGTTCAGTAAAATCTGGTCTATTTCCTTGACATGAGATTTATAAATAGTTGAAGATTGGACTGTCTGAAAATCTCTTTATGTCCGAGCATGATACAGTAGTGTTTTGATTAGGAGAAGTGATTGGGCTGATGATTTTTGATTATGAAATCTTGTTGTGTTACAATTTTGTATAGCTTAATTAGTTTTTGAATGAAGTCTGCATTTTTTTCCTAAATAAGAATCTTTAATTAGAAAGTACGTTTAAAATTAGGAACATTTACATTAGAAATAAAAAAAATCCTGCATCTTTTATTTTCTCTAGGTACAGAATTTAAATACATAAACAAGGTATTTTCCATGTTATTAAAAATATGTTCCTTTATGATACAATAGCTAAACAAAGAATGGTCAAGTTTCATGCCCTCTTATTAGAATGGGTTTATAACACATACTCTTGGAGTCTTTACCAAGTCACTGCAGTTTTCTGCTTTGTTAGGCTTTGTGTTTTTTTCCTTTGACCATTTCAGCTTTTTGCCATCAAAGCCTTTACTGGCTCATTATAGCCCTGTAAAAATCTGAGATTCTGAATTGAGGATTTTGGGCAGGGGGGACTCTGACTTGCCACAGCTGTGTGGTGTTTAAATACACATTCCTTCTGGTCTCCTCCACAGACTCAGGTTTGGATTGGTTTTGTTCTTCCCAAGAATCCACAATCCTTATGAATTTAAGCTCAAAGTGTTGTTAGTTAAATTGGGTAGTCCTGTTCTTCTCAAACAGATTGGTCTGTGGTGGCTCATTGTTGGGGGCCCCTACCTTGTCACTCAGTTTCTTTTCTGAAGACTGGCAGGTTGGACATCCTGCAGCTTCACTTCTGTAACTATGGCCTTATCTTGTCTCTCGCATTTTTTTTCTCTCCTTCTGTTGCATTTTCTCCATTTTTCATTTGGCTCCCTTAACCCCAGTTTATCTCAGCTTTGCCACGTTTTCTCCCATTTCTATTTTTTTTCCTTCAAATCTAGAGATAATTTTTGCTTTCTTTTTTTTTTTTTTATGTGTTAATGTTAACTTCTCAGTCTATTATTTAATCCATATGAGCAGCAAAACTTGTCTTCCCAGACTAGCGTAAAGTGTTACAAATTTTCAAATTAATCCAACCATTTATTTATTTACTTTTTAGCACAACCTCAGCGTTTGCCTCAGCCAAATACTTCAGCACTGGAAAGGGGTGAGGAAGAAAGTGGCCAAATCCAAAATGGCTACACAGGTCTGAGTAATGGAAGTGGAATTCACAGCGGGGTCAAGCACGCACCTGCAGACAACCGAAAGCTTTCAGCTCCTGTTTCAGAAAAAATGCACAGAAAAATTCAGTCTACCTTGTCTGTCAACAGCAACAGCAGCAAGAAGAGTAAACTAAGCTCTGTGTTTTCTCAAAAGCCAGGTACTTCACCTGAAGGTAAGCAGAAATTCTTATTAAAAAAACCCCAAACTGAATAAAGACTGAATGAAGACTAGCCAAACTGCATTCTCACTAATAATTGCACAATCAACTGAAAATAATTGAAGAGCATGACTCATTATGATAAAATGCAAGTTACTTCCCCAAAGGAAAAGATTAAGTATTTGAAGGAAATTAAAGCAATGAGCTATTTCTTGCTTTTGAACACATAGTCAACATAGTCTGATAATATTGTAGTCTCACTAGGTAGTATCCTGAACTAATAAATACTCCTGTCAACATGGTCACATACAGACCAGAAAAAAATGCAAAAGCACTAGTTCAAAGCATAGTAAATACTTAAATCCCATAATGGTGGGCTCCATGAGGGTATTGTTTACTTTTGAAAATGTTCTGTTAGTGGATATTCTGACTAGCCATGAGGTCTGAACACTAGAAAATAAAATTTAGAGCTGTGCTTCAGTGTGCCTTTTACTATATCTGGGCTGTAAATAATTTCCATGAAAAAGCTTCTTACTCCCTATGCACAGCTTACATAAGCAAAAGTAAATATTTCCCTTACATTTTAGCTGTGTGTGTATTTTCACTGCTTGCAATTACTGTAATGGTCCCAGAGTTCCTGAGCCTCTCCTCAATCCACTGCCTTCCCATTAACACTAATGGACTCGATGGGCTTTGCTCCTGCCTGTTACAAGAAGGGTGAAGAGTCTCCATAAATTTTATTGGTTTGAGGAACGCACTTGTTAAAAAAAACTCTTGTAGGGGTGGGTACAGACACAGATTCTTAAAAGAAATGGGAAGCAGTACTATTCAGTGAAAAGGGGAGGATTCTCAGCCTAGATGAAAGGAAGAGGGATCAGAAGGACAGCACATAGTGGCCTGAGTAAAGCCTACTGTTGTCAGTGGAGTGACTTCTCTTGACTTCAGCTACTTCAATCAAACCTACTGAGTGAATCTGTGAGCTTCTCTCGGACTGTTCTGTGGGATAGTCTTCCTTGCTGTTGTTCGTTTTCATATTTATCTTCAAGAACCTACTGTTATTTTTGTGTTGTACTTTTAGTCCTCTAACATCTCTTTCCAAACTCATAACTTAATACTTGCTATATTCCCCTTATCTCTTTCTGTTATGTAAAATCCAGCCTGGTATTTTTTTTATATTTCAAAAAAACTGTAGGTCAAGAGACCTAGGGCTGTTCATGTGACTGGCACAAGGGGCAGGCCTCTGAATGCAGAAAATCTAATCTGTGAAAAATTAAGGAGTTCTAAAGAGATGGTGCCTGCCATGTTCATGTCCTTATACAATTATTTATGGCAAACACTTCCTTTTTTTTTTTTTCCATTTATTGGAATAAATACAGTTAGTGCATTTTTTGCTTGCTTTTAATAACCTTGGCCATGATTATGTCAAATTAATGAATGATTGAAGAGAAAATTAATAAGATGCCTTCAGATATAGCTGTAATTCCTGATACCTGATTTAATAGCCAACATGTGATTGTGTTAGTTGGCTAAAACTACCAACATATGATCTTTTATTTACAGTCAGAAATATTGAATTTTTTAAGTTATGTCTGATTAGAATTACATTGTGTTGTCACAGTCACTTGCACAGCTTGACTCACACTACTAATATCTGCTGCTCTTAAGTTTTCTGATAACCAGTCTGAGTGAAGTGCAAATTTTGTTGTGCAATAATTAAAGTGTATCTAGGGTGTTTGTGTCTTATTTTATGCTCACATACACCTTCTGATAGATTCTTTAGCTTTTCAATAATTCATTCCATGAGACTGCATGGGAGAACAGTAGACTAAAAGTAATATTCTTACAAAGTTGTTACCTTGCAGAAAGTAACAATATATATGTATTTTGTTCTGTCATCCATCTGTTTTTTGATAAGATGCTTAACTGGACACTCTGGCAATGGTCAGCTGAAATACCTAAAATAACACAAAGAAGAGATCACCGTTTAAGGAAAAAATATTTATCCATAAATTAAACATAATTATGTTTATGAATTTAAGAAATGTAAATCCCTTATGGCTACTTCTAGAAAGCTACACTTAAAGCACATGATATGATTACCTAGATTATTTGTTCAGAGTTTTCATTTAAAGCAGCAATATATATGTTTGGTGAATACAGCTAACTACTCAAAACCAGAAGAGTACACTAGTAAGTCCTGTGACCGAGGATTGTATAGACACTCTTTGAAAAGCAATTCAAACCCAACTTCTGCAGCTTCTTTGTATTTTGAATCATATTTCTGTGGGCAGAGAGGTATTTTTGTGAGAGTTGTTTCTTCTGATCCAACGACATTTCTGTAGAAACTATTAAAAAAGTTTACAGGCAGATGGAAAAGATAGGAAAGTGTTGGAAATTATTTGCAATGTTGCTTAATGGCTTGGCTTTGCTTTAACTTGTATCATATTAACCTCATAAGCCATTGGTTACTACTTAAGAGCTGCTGAGTTTGATTTTTCTTGAAGGTGTCCATGTGTTTGGGCAGATCTATGCACTATAATAACATAACTTATATGCAGATTTTTATGTACTCTTATGCAGAAAGAGACAAATAATATTAATTTTTGTACTGAGTATTGAATAATCAATCACCTGAATTAACTCATCTACTTCAATTTACTGTAGTGTCCAGATAATTTTAGTAGAAAGAAATATAGGTAAACCTGAACAATTGAACACTTCCAGATATTCCAGTTCACTTTAATTTTGCTATTCCCTGTGTACAACCTTGGATTTTATAATCTAATTTATAGTATGCCTTTTACTTATTTATTTAATCTGAAAATACATGCCACATATTTTTACCTCATCTGCCTCTTTTTCTACCTTGAGTGCTCTGCTATATTCCAGGCAGTAGAATAGCTATGTTTTTTAAGTGAAACAAAGTGGCCAGAGAAAAGAAATACAATATGTCCTTACAGAGAAGACAAGTGAAAATTCTGGTCATCAAGCTGATTTTAGACAGTAGAAAAGAGAAAACATTGTTCACTTTTTCTTACCTCCTCCCAAAAGCTGTATTCTTTTTTCTTCCTAGATTAGAATATAGCAGTATTTCTGAAGCATCAAAAATAAATCCAGGTCTGGTAGTTAATTCACTGTAGAACATCTTATCTATTGACAAAACAGAAAGCCTGGTAGTGCTTGAAGCAGGGTAGAATCAAGAAACACCCAGGCTTGCCAACTATCCTGTGCAGGAGCGTATTTGGGCTTATGCTTTTTTAAAAGGTTAGCAAATGCAGCATGCTGTGTGATATATTGCAGTCTTCAGTATAAATATCAGAAGGCTAAAAGAAGTCCAGTGTTATTTTACCCAGGTTATCACATCTTCCCATGAAGGTCAGTACTGCTCCTGTTGGTCTCAAAAATGCTAGACAGTCCTAATGCAAGCTATAAAGCCTCCTAGTTCCCTGCTCCCCGCAAATCCTCACACTTTAAAAAAGTTAACAACTTTTTTATTAATTGTTCCAGCTGCAAACTACCCTTGGAGCTGTAGATTACATCTTGTGACCTTTCAGGATTGAAGTTGTGTTGGAAGTACTTAAAACGTAAAAGACATTTTGGTAACAGTAGTATAAAAGCTTTTAAAATCTGTGAGTCTGTAGCGTATGGAGTTGTGTCAGCACTCCAGAATACACTTTCACATCCACTGAGGCTTAAGAGAGTATGAGCACTCACCAGCTCTGCTCTTCCTTTGCATCTGTTATCAATCCAAACGTCCCTAACGAGATTCTACTCAGCTCTGTGACTTAACTACAAAAAAACAAAGGAATCATTAAATAGTAGGAGTATCTCTCCTAAAAAGCAGGTTTAAAACCCTTTTTCAGTCCTAAAGATTTTTCAAAGGGACTGGATAAGTTTCAGTGATGAGCACTCACCAGCTCTGCTCTTCCTTTGCATCTGTTATCAATCCAAACGTCCCTAACGAGATTCTACTCAGCTCTGTGACTTAACTACAAAAAAACAAAGGAATCATTAAATAGTAGGAGGTATCTCTCCAAAAAGCAGGTTTAAAACCCTTTTTCAGTCCTAAAGATTTTTCAAAGGGACTGGATAAGTTTCAGTGCACATAGGCAATAGAAGATTTCTTTAATTGAAAGAGATTTTGATGCTATTTTGAATTATTTATGTTAGAGGTGTCACAGTACTTCCAAAACTTTGGTCAGTGGACCACTAGCAAAGAGAGTTGTCACTCTCTTGCACCTGTTATGTGTAGGGCAGAGGTAACAGGGGATAACCTGAAAAAGCAGTTGTAAATTAATAAAAATAAGGCAGACTAGCTGCTGTGTTTGGAAGCAGTGGTACCTGTCCAAAGCAACTTAAAGAGGGAGAAGGTCTCAAGGACATGGCAATGAGACAGCTGAACAGTAAATCTAGATGTTAGGAAATGAAAGAAAACGGGTAACTGAATACATATGTGTATCAGAGAAGTGGAAGGTAAGTAGTAATGACATATGGAGAGTTGGAGGAGCAAAGGGAAGAAGAGCCTGGGCAACTTAAAGATGGAAGAGGAATTTAATTTAGGAGGTGGAGGGGGCAAACTGCAGTGGGCCCTAATGATTTGGAAAAAAAAAAATTCCTACAAAAACCTTGGGAAGCTTGATGTAATGCATTTTTTCAATCAAAGCAATAATTTCTAAAAAATTAATGATGGACAGAGGGAATGCAAGTTTTAAATCTGTTTTGAAATGGAGCTCTGAATTCTGGTAAAGTTACTGTTACCTCACAAGTTAATCCATTTGTCAGGGTAGTTCCTACAACTGCAGAAACTTGTGATTATTTGAGTTTAGAGTGGTACTTCACATATTCAAAGACTGAAAGCATACACAATTCTGTATTCATCAGGAAAGAGCAGCTTGTTAAACCAGGGTAAGCAGATCATGAGCCTGCATCCTGTGTGAACAGTGAGATCTTCACTTTTTTCCTTCCCAGGCTCTATAAACCAGAGAGACACTAGAAGGCATCTTCTTTCCAGATAT